CGCTTATTTTTAAAAAAAAATAAAAAAATAAATAAAATAGCGACCAACCTTGGTCTCCATTTTCCAGATTTTAAAATATAATATTTGGATTAGAGACCAAAGTTGGTCGCTGTTTTATGAATAATAATAAATAAATAAATAATATATTTTACATTTAGAGACCAACTTTGGTCGCCAAATTTATATTATTAAAATAATAAAGCGACCAAAGATGGTCTCTATAGTCAATACCCGGAATATTTGGTCAGTTTACCTTAGAGACCAAAGTTGGTCGCTAATTAGCGACCAACTTTGGTCCCTAAAGTGAAGGGACCAGCAATATAGCGACCAGGCATGTTTGGTCGCTTTTTGGTCGCTTTTAGGCCTATAAGCGACCAACTTTGGTCGCTTTTTGTGGTCGCTTTTTACCGGATTTCTAGTAGTGCAACTTGAAACATTGGAATAATCAAGTATGGAACAATATAAACGGGATTTTATTCATCAAGGTGACTTGACCTGCCTCTCCTTGAAGAGGTTCAGGATCTTACATTGATCTTGTTTCTTGCTCCACTTATGGAGTATATCTTTCTATTTTTGGAGTATTCAGAGTTGTGTAGAAGAAGAAGCCCCCCTTGGGAGGTTCTCTCCCTTGGTATTTATAGCCTCAGGCTTTTTCATCTGGTCACGAATGGACCCCTCCTTTTGTTGTGAGACGTCCCCTCGTTTGTTTTAAGGACAGCTGTCATAAGTCAAGAGTCAGCAGCGTTGACCATCTACTACAAAGCGGTCGTGATGGGGTTGACCCCCTGGTCGAAAAATGGCCGTATATCTGCCAATGCAGTTAGTCCCTCCGTTCGTCGAGGTCGTGCTCGAGTCGACCTCGGCGGACGGATAGAGCGGCGTGATCGGGGAGGGCCCTTAAAAATGAGTTTTCAGCATTGAACTGTTGGTTGGCGAGTGGAGCGTCATCCTGCGCAGTCGTTCGTAATGGCGCACGTTTTCATGAAACCGAATCGCTTCGTGCACGGTTAAGTATTAATGGCGATCGTTGGGTCCCGTGCAGGCAGAATCCGTTATTTATACTTGGAGAAGATGTGTCATTTTGTTTTTTACATGTTCATTGTTCTTCTAAGAGAAATCTCGAGAAGCCTTTTCTTCTGTCAAATCGCATTTTCCCTATTCTTCCAATCATTATCATCATTGATTTCTCCGTCTCCCTTGTCAAAGTTCTTCTTTCTTTCGCTCGTGAATCGATTATGGCAGGCACTTCTTCTCGCGGCAATCACTCGGCTAATTCTCCGGGAGTCGAAAATCCCGCTCCGGCAGATGAAAGGTTAGAGTTGGTGGGAGCTGAGGAAATTCCTTCGGTTGATGAAATTCTACCTCACCCAGGAGATCAAGTGATGGATTTCAGTGCACCGGNGACGTCCCCTCGTTTGTTTTAAGGACAGCTGTCATAAGTCAAGAGTCAGCAACGTTGACCATCTACTACAAAGTGGTCGTGATGGGGTTGACCCCCTGGTCGAAAAATGGCCGAATATCTGCCAATACAGTTAGTGTGTATGAGAGAGGAATATTCGTGTTTGGATGGGAGTGAAGTGAGAAAGAGCAGTGTAGGCGGCTTGGGAGAATGGAGAAGAAGAGGTCGGCGGCAGCTGTTGTGTAGAAAAGAGAAAGAGAAGACTGCTAGAGTTTTTGGAAAGGGAGGTATGTCCGTCTCTTTTGGAGGAGGGAGTGTTTTAGTAGGTGGAAAAGAGAGACGACACCGTTTTGGAGATGAACGACATCGCTTGAGACCTGGAGTCAGGCGGGTCGGGCATTTGAACGGACTGGGGCGGGTGTTTGGTTAAATATTGGGCCTCAGTCCTTGGCCCAGTTCGTTGGCAAACCTAGCTCTTTTCTTTCTTTTCAATATCAGATTTTTGCAAACTCTAGCCATTTTAAACTCAAACTTTAATTGAAACTAATTTTTATATGGCTAGTCTATTTATTTATTTTACCTAATGACGAACTAACACAACTATTTAATTAAATAACCCAAGAATGTATTTTTTTTATTTTTAGTATTTAAAAGATGCATTTATCAATGTAATTAAATCATAAAGTGCAATTTAAAATCTAGCAGGCTATGAAATTAAGGTTTGAACATTTTTTATGATTTTTATGATTTTAAAACAACTCTAAATATGCATGAACAACTCTAAAATATTTTGAAATATTTGTAGGAGTGATTTGCATTGGGGTAAAAATTAGGTGCTCACAACCGGTTTATTTTAAAATTCCACATCAAGAAAAATTGACTATTTTAAAGTCTGCGAAACACAAAAGACCGGGTAAGGAATTATATTAACCCAGGAGAAAGTGTTAGGCATTCTCAGATTCCGTGGTTTTAGCACGATCGCTTTATGACCATACTTGGCTTGATTATGTGTTAATTAAGTATTTTAGAACCTACGTACGTTTTCACATTTTACCGCTTTTACTTAATTATGACGTTTATGGAATTAATCTTTAAAACAAATCACGTATATGTATTCGCTTTTGTTTGGTATGTCAAAATTGTATCACGCGTACGTGTACACAACTAATAACAATTTGTTATTATTAAGATTGTTTCGTCAAAGTTGCGCGAACGCATACCATGCCTTTAATTTTGAAAATCGTAATTATGTCACACGAACGTATACATAATCACGATGATTTGATTAATTAAGAGCACACCTAAAGCATTCTAACTTATTCAAGAATTAATTATTTTCCTGAGATTTGAGGTTATTGTAAGGAAAGAGAATTATGTATGGCATTATGGAAGAAATGTATGTTTTAACTAATATTATTAACAAGAACAATTATGTTACAACTTAATTAATTGATAGCATTCTTTCTTTACCCTTGCCCAAGAAATTACACATTAAACCACAGAGTGAATTAAATTGCCAATGGATATTGATGAGATTCAAGTAAATGCAATTGCTCGGTCTTAAATTAGCCTTTTATTAATACCCCTAGCAAATCATGTCCAAATAATAGCCTCAAGGACCAAATACTCTTAAAAGAACCGACGACTCGCTTGACTAAAGACAAAGGTCCATTTATGCATTTCCACATAAAATTATCGTGCTTCTCTTCCCATAACTTACAAATGGATGATTAATCATACTAAACAGAGCATAGGTACACAGAGCAACTAATAACTAAAACAGATACGTAGCAGGATACTTCATGCAACAATTTTATCCGAATGAACTCAAACTCATATCTAAGAAAAACCACAAACAAATATGTAAATAACAAAGACTTTATAAGGTAAACAATCGGACCTTTACTAACAAAAATATTTCCTTTATTAGCAAGCAGCAAGCACCTCCAGTGAAATTACAGCACCTGAAATCAAAGCCGAATGGACTCCAACAGAGTAAACCCGCCAGAACCCGAACAGAAACGCAGCGGCGTCGGAACCTCGAATGCTTTAGGGGTGAGCTGGTGCTTTTGCGACAGATTTATGGCTATTTTCGCGGAGTTTTGACTGCTTTTTTTTTGCCAGATTTTGGAATGTTTTTGAGCTGTTTCGGTAGAGGGATTTTGCTGGGTTTTGGGGGTGATTTCGGTGGTTT